TTATCACTCAAAAAAAAAAAAAAAAAAAAGTAGAATACCATGCGTGGCAACCTGGGGCAATTTCGAATTACTAGGAGTACCTCAGAAACTCCGAAAGTGAAATTACTAACATAAGCCCCACCATATCCAACCGTCCATAGACAATTCAATTAACGGCCGGAGATCACGATCCGCGTGACAAACCCTCATTGGACCTTACCGTCCCACCCCCTATATAACTGGTCCAAATTAGAACCCCGTCCCGATCCAAAATATTAAAAATTTAAAATCCCTGAAACGAAATCGTCGAGAAAGTATCCACCTTCGATTCTCTCATTGAAACGCTATGGCCGGAAGAGGAAAGGCTCTCGGTACCGGGGCCAAGAAAATGGGACAATCACGGAGCCATAAAGCCGGCCTCCAGTTCCCCGTCGGTCGTATCGCTCGCTTCTTGAAGGCCGGAAAGTATGCCGATCGCGTCGGGGCTGGCGCTCCCGTCTATCTTGCCGCAGTCCTTGAGTACCTCGCCGCCGAGGTAAATAAAATACCGATCCACGACGGATTTTCGGCTACTGATTTTGGATTTCCTCCCTCATTTGCGTTTTGTTGTTGCTCTTAGGTTTTGGAATTGGCTGGGAATGCGGCGAGGGATAACAAGAAATCGAGGATTGTTCCGAGGCACATTCAGTTGGCGGTGAGGAACGATGAAGAGTTGAGCAGATTGCTCGGGACGGTGACCATCGCGAACGGCGGCGTTTTGCCTAACATTCACAATATGTTGTTGCCGAAGAAGACTACAACCAAAGGGCCGGTGGACGATGATTAGGCCTAAGAAAATTCGGAACAAATTTGGTTCGGATTTCATTGACATCTTCCAATTCCTTTTTGCTTAGATTTAGGGTTTGTTTTAGGGATTGTGAGAATGGATAATTGCCTCGATGTAAATGGTTAATTTAAGAAATTCAAGATTAAAATTTTTGCCATATAAAAATAGTTTCATTAATAGTATCTTAATAAATTTGTAAAGCAAATTACAACATATAATCTGTGCTGTAAAATTTTCATTTTTACCCACAAAGATGATAAATTCTTTAATGCATGAATCCGATCCAAATGTTCTGTGCTTAAATCAAGCTTGACCTCTTGGGGGAGCATGTTGCTCTTTTTGTGTTGTGTCGGTGGCAGAAATGTAGTAGGCAATACTGAAGAGTCCATGAAGAAAACACACAATGCCTCCAATTGAGAGAAGGCGATGGTGGGCAATGCTGCATGATTTGCCTGATTTTGAGTTTGCCAGTGCCCCCATGATCAGCATCAAGAACCCAACTGCCAACATCATCCTGTTTTTTGGTAAGATTTTCAACATTAGTTACCATACCAATTCATTTCGAACTTAAAACAGAATTTCTTTCTTTGGAGGAAAAAAGGTGTGGTAGAGGGATGACATAATACCATGAGAAGATGAGAGACGCAAAGGCTAATTGCTTCTTAGGGGTGGCCTGCTCTAATTTGTCCTTGGACCAAAAGAAAATGCACCCACCAAGCAGGTTAGCAATGGCATGGGCAAGGACAAGAAGTACAGCTGCAGCCAATCCTAACTGGAAAGCTTTCATACTAGGGGTTCTACACTCAAATATCCATAGCCTCAAATGGTTCACCTATTCAACACAACGACATCATGGTATCAATAAAAAGAAACTCTTTAGTTCCATAGTGCTTGATTGAATTTTGATCATACCTTGTTCTGAGCTACTTCGGCTTCTATGCCAAGAACCCCAGCAGCAATGTCCAGAGCCAAGATCAACAGACAAACTAAAAAGGCAGTGTTTTTCGACATGGCTATATTCAGATGAAGAACGGATGAAGATAGTTAAGAGGAAAAAAAAGGCAGGAGAAATCTTGTATGAAGCTCCTCTCTTTATAGGGAAACCTCTATGAGCCCAACATGAAGACGAGAATAAGAATAAAGTAAGGCGAGGTATGAATAGACGTGGAGATTAGTAACAAACACGAGAGAGATTAGCTGTGATTAATGGGTTAAAAGCTTCTTTTGTTTACAAGTTTTTCTTTAGTTTTCTCTTTCAAATCCTTTTCTTTTCAAATTCGGATTCTTTCCATGGGAGGCAAGAAAAGTAGAATATCAAGGGTGGGAGAGTATTGTTGATCTTGATCTACCCTACGGCTAGTAACCTATATCATGAATCATCATACGTTTACAGCTTTAGATTTGCCTATCCCATTTAAAGGAATTGTTCTCAGTCTGTCAAAGTTTAGTTCAAGAAGAAAGGGCACAAACTTGATTTTTTTTGTACGCTACTTTAGGCAATATTTATATATAGCATATGTATGATAATTGAAAAGACCATGAGTCATATATATTACAAATATACTGGGACCTTTAAAAAACTTCATTAGCCTAGAACAGGAAAAAGAATGAATAAAAGGGGAACTAGTTTGTTCTTCTTTTGGGGTTACATTGATATCTTCGAATTCTTTTTGCTTAGATTTAGGGTTAGTTTTAAAGATAATGACTATAATCTGATTTGGGGTTATAGATTAATTACTTCTTGAATTATCACACTTTAGACTTTACTTAAAAAGAGAACTTTGTTTTTAACATGGGATTAATGACTATAATTTGGTTTTCTCTCTTTGTAATGGGTTGAGTATTTCTTATACTTCCTATGATAAAAGTTAATTTGTTGAGTGATAAAAAAAAAAAAAAAGAAAGAAAGAAAAAGATTTTGAAGATAGTAATAATGGGTAATTGCCTCAACTGATGTAATTGATCAATTTCAAAGATATATGATTAGAACTTTACATATTGTCCCCTAGTTTACAAACACAATTTCAGTTACAAATAAAGATCATAATTCCAAACAAATTTTAAGATCTAGAAATCTGAAAAATGAGTGAATCCAACACAAATCTCTGGTTAATCTAAATCAAGCAGGGCTTCCTTGGGGAATATGTTTCTCTTCTCAGGTTGCAAGAGTAGCAGAAAGTTTGTAGGCAATACTGAAGAATCCATGAAAAAAACAGAGAATGCCTCCAATTTGGAGAAGAAGATGGTGGGAAATGCCACAATAATGACTTGATTTTGAGTTTGCTAGAGCTCCCATGATCAGCATTATGAACCCAATTGCCAATGTTATCCTGTTTTTTCATTAGATTTCTACATTAATTACCGACAAAATTTTTTGTTGAGCTTAAGCAGAATTTGTTCTTTAGTAGAAGTAGAAGAGGAACGAAGGGATGGCATACCATGAGAAGATGAGGGAAGCAATGGCTAATTTCTTGTAACCAGAGGATTTTTCTAAATCAGCCTTGGACCAAAAGCAAATGCACCCACCACACAAGTTTGCAATGACATGGGCAAGGCCAAGAAATACAGCTGCAGCCATTCCCAACCTGTAAGCTTTCACACTTCGGAATCCACACTCCGCCAGCGATGCACTCCAATGTGTCTGCTATTCAACACATCGACGTTGTGCCATCAATAGAAAGAAAAAAAAAAACTCTTTAATTCCATAGTTCTGATTGGATTTTGATCGTACCTTGTTTCGAGCTTTTTCGGCTTCAATGCCGAGCACGCCAGCAGTAATGTCTAGAGCCATGATCAACAGACAAACTAAGACAACAGTGTTTCTTGACATGGCTATATTTATGTGAAGATTGAATGAAGATACTTGCGAGGAAGAAGGCAGTAGAAATCTTGTTTGAAGCTCCTCTCTTTATAGGCGAAGCTCTATGAGATCAAGATGAAGACCAGAAAAAGAATAAAAGGCCAGATATTAATAGAAGTGAAATTCAGAATTCAACACTTGAGATTAACTATGATTTATGGGTTAAATTAAAAGCTTTCTTTGTTTTCAAGTTTTCTTTGTACTTCTTTTTCACATGCTTTTATTTTAAAATTTGGATTCTTTCCATGGGAGGCAAGAAAAGCAGAATATCAAGGGGGAACGTGATCAACCCTCTAGCTAGTAACCTGAATCATACATTTGCAGCGTAGCCATTTGGATCCCATTTAAGGGCATTAAGCTCATCAAAGTTCAATTCAAGAAGAAATAGTTCAAACTTGAGTAGCAGAAAAACGATAGATATTGGAAAAAAATTACATGCCCAAAAGCTCAGTTAGAAGCTTGGACAACAGGTTTTCCTATGTTTTCCTGCTCTCTTACGAATATGTTCTTTACTTATTGATAAATGGCAGTGCCTTTTTTTTTTTGGGGGTAATATACAGCAGAATTTGCTATATCTACCTAGATTCTACCATATTCAGATAAAGAAAGAATGAATATACTTAAGAGGTGGCTATTATTGCATGCAAATGGTCGCAGGAGACAGTTGTGAGAAATTAATCTCTGTTCATTGTTTGTACAGTTTTAGCATTTTTGGCAGTTTTCTTTCGCTTTGTAGCAGCTTATTAGCTGCTTTATTGTAGTGGACAAATAAGATTCACATTTTATCTAAAAAAAAAAAAAAGGGAATATACTTAGGAGGAGGAAGAAGGCAGCAGAAATCTTGTGTGAAGCTCCTTCTTTATAGATAAAGCTTTATGAACTTAACATGAAGATGAGAATAAGAATAAAGGTGAGGTATGAGTAGAAATGATGATAAGCAACAAACACGAGAAAGATTAGCTGTGATTTATGGATTAAAAAAGCTTATTTTCTTCTCAAGATTTTCCCTTATTCTTCTTTTTCACCTCCTTTTCTTTTCAAATTCTAATTCCTTCCCATGGAAGAGAAGAAAAGTAGAACATCAAGGATGGGGAAGCATTGTTTGATCTTGACCAACACCCTAGCTAGTAACCTGAATCACACTTACAGCTTAGCCACGCAGATTCCAAATAGGGACATTGTTCTCAGCTTATTAAAGTTCAATTCCAAAAGAAAAGAAAAAGCACTATCTCTGGTCCATTTTACTTGTCACCACATGTATTTAGCAGGACACAATGTATCCCACCAGTATTGACAAGTGAGATAAATGTACTGTACCACCTCCTCCCATAGCCATGCCTCATCAAAACTCTCAAAAGCACCCCAGCACATGAAGCACTACCATAAATTTGCTTTTGAATTTTTTTGTAGAGAATCTAAAACTATTATCTAGATATGATACTACCATGCGATCATAGATAAGCCGGAAAGCATAATGCCTTTATCACCGAAGAAGACCCTTGCCCTTTGGCTACTCATTAGGATGACCATCAAGACCCTGGAATGGCTGTTGAAAAACAGCCCCCAAAAGCTAAAAAGACTAAAAAGTTGGTGCAAGCACAAGATCAAGGACATCAAACTGAGTTCCATATGCCTTAACAACACTATCCTCATCCCATACTTGCTTTCAGGTGAGCCTCTTTGTAGATCACTCCCATGTGATGAATCTGGAGCATCTCCGGGAACCAAACCTGGGAAGAAATCATTCCTCTCTACTCGGCGGTTCTTCATCTTTTCTTTTGGAAGCAAATAGAGTTCTGTAAAAGTTCATTGTGTTTGTAATGTGACATTCATGATATTTGTGGTCTTTTTTTTTTTTTTTTTTTTTTT